GAAGTTACAACTGCTAGAGGTAAATAGACCATAATCATGAAGTTAACTTAAGCAGTTGTAATTTTACCTTAATTAAAAAATGTAATTTGACCTCCAAAAATAGTAACTTTTGGTACGGTACCCATTTTTTTTTTAGGTACCATAGAATTACACGAGAAGATGACATCAGTCATTTTGCATGAACAAGAAGAGGAAATGAATCCCATTTACATTTTGGTGTAAATGGGATAAAAGTATTTGAGATCGTCGATCTCTTCCTTAAAGATTGGGATGAGTTGATATGAGATAACAAGAATCATGATAGATAGGGGTTCAGCTGTGAATCTCCTATTTTTGAGAATGTTAAAACGTCTCGGGATTACTATTCATCGATTGGCCTCGAGCAATAGATTTACCCAAAGATTTAACCAAAGTAGGCAGAGGTCTCTTGGCAGTGTACCTCTTGAATTAAAGATTGAGGAATTGAAGGATATCATACCCCTTTATGTTGTTGATGCAAAAACATCAAATAATGTTCTACTTTTGCAGCCTTGGATGAATGAGAATTACGTCGTCCCTTCTACTTATCACCATGGGCGGAGCCACATGGGGACCAGGATGGACTGTGAAAAATTAATTTACATTTAATTCATATACAAAATTTTAGAGACTTTTATAATTTTGTTAAAATGTACCAAAAAAATTATTTTGTGTCTTTTTGTTAAGATTTTATTTCGGCTAAATAGAAATTGAATTTACAATTTCACAATAATTTTGTCTTGATTCTTTTTTTTTTTGTCATTCTTGANATTTGTTTTGTCATTCTTGAACTGAATTTTTTTATATCAATTTCAGCTAATTATTTTTTTGTGTCAATTATATTTTATTCCCTCATAGATATTCATGGCTCCGCCCCTCTTAATCACTAATGTTTCAAGTAGACCACAGTCAGATTCTTATTTATCTCAATAAAATGAAAATCTATCGTCACTCTATGTATAGAGTGTAACTCGTTCATGAAGTGTTAGGAATCAATAAAGAGTAGTAGTTACTCAAAAAAAAAAAAATAAGGAGTAGTCACCCTGAGAATTTGGTTCGTCAATGTAAGTTTTATAGGTCAAACCATGTTAATTCTTTAAGTTATTGTATGCTTCTATTTTATTTGTTACTATTTAATTTTGTCACTGCACACTTTAGGTTTGGTTGGGTCAGCATGACTGTGTACACATGCTTTCGTATTGCATTTGACTTGAAATTCACATGGAACTGTCGTGGAACATGTCTTTGAGCACAAGCTCTTGAAGTTGTACCCATGGGTAGATAGAGTGGGCAACTAAATCCACTCTGTAACACTGTTAATGGTTTTGTGTTGTAATGTATTAAATACGCATGTCATCAGGGGCGGAGTCAGGATTATATGTGGAAAGGGATAAAATATGACAAAAAATCAAAGATTGAACGACAAATTATAGTGAAATATGATCTTCTTCAATTTAAAAGTTGTTTATATTTGATTGATTATATCTGAAATTTCGTTGGATTATATCTTTGATCACGGTGAGTTAATTCATGGAAAGAGTAAAAAAATACTTTTGGATCAGAACCATTTACCCGTTCCATCTAACAGTATTTTACTAGGTTACGACTTCTAACTTATTAAAAAAGAGTAATTGTGCCGAAAAAAATAGGGATAATATATTAAATAGAAGAGAATTATAGCCCTTGATCAATATACAAATCACAATATTGTACATGTATTTTACTCTGTCCAAATGTAATATTTATTTTTTTGGGNGGCCCTTGATCAATATACAAATCACGGTATTGTACATGTATTTTACTCTGTCCAAATGTAAAATATTTATTTATTTGGGTTATGAGATGATTGACAGTGAAAAAGAACTAGAGTACTATATAGAATTGTATTAATTTTACTTTGGTCATGAGATTTCTAACCCTACAAATCTAAGTGTCAACCAAAACCCTTGAACGTGTCTCCGCCCTTGATGGGTGGTGTCGTCTCAAATTTGTTAAAACACAGATTCTGATGACTCAATTGGTTTTAATTTTTTATAAGTGAGTTATGTCATGTTTGATTCGTATTGTATATAAATTATATTTATCCTAATCCGTGTTATATTTAAGTAAATTTGTATTAACCCATTTATCACTGTAATCCTTTAAATCCTTCCACGCTACCAGAGAGAGAGAGAGAGAGAGAGAGAGAGAGAGAGAGAGAGAGAGAGAGAGATCATTGCAGGCGCAATCAGATCCACAACCTCTGCCATTAGGCATGGTGCTTTGTATCTGTGTGTGTGTCCTTTTTCCTCTATCCAGGTGTTTCTGATCATAACACTTTCTCATATGTTCTTTGTTTTTTATATGTTTTCTAACAACTGAGCATCATTTAGCCAGCTTGGTCTAAAAGCATCATATGAGTATACCAGGGTACGAAACTCTCGTTATTGTGAATTCTATAAAAGATTAAATGAACATAGTCTTATTTCTACAAATAGAGAAACCGTTTTCATAATTCGAACCTATAACATCTAAGACATAATATCATATAGTCAAAAGAAAGTAAAGTGCCAGTTATTTGTGAAGAAAATGGATTCAGTTCATGAGGCATGCACGGGGTATCAATTTTGCATTGCTTAAAACATGTTAAGAGCCTTCTCTTACTAGTTTATGCATTATGTATAGTAGAAGATTAGATGGTAAAAAAGGATCGTCAAAAGTGGTGTTGATCAATCGAGGCCCTAATCAAGGCAGATTTCAATTGTGGCATTAAAGAATTGCTCAAGCAAGAGTTTTACGGTCATACGTTGATAAAAATCTCTCCCTAAATAAATTTTTAGGGGTGATTTAGTGGTTAAATTTGAACTTTAATAATTCAAATATCTCAGATTCAACAGTTCTCAATTTCTCCAAAGGATTAACCATCATTATTTTTTAGGGGATATGTTCTAAACCTGTTCAGACTATAAAGATTCACATTTGAACTTGAGAGAATAATTAACGCGAATATCAATACTCTATAAAAATAAAATAAAATAAAATCTCCCCCTGTGAACAGTGGCTGTGCAATCCAAAATGGCCCCCACAGACCAAGAATATCATTATATGTTGACTATTGCTATGTACACAAAAAATGTGTACCACAACTTATACCAAATCAATTGCAAATGGATGGGTTCATCGCTAATTTAATCCAATGACTACAATTAATTTAGTACAAATTTTAGTGCACATAGAATTATTCTTATTTGCTAGTCATATGAGGCATTTTATATCAAAAACTAGTAATTGCCCGTGCCTGAAGGCACGGCGTAACGAAAAATTAGATTAAAACTCTAATTTACCATAAAGTTAGAAATAAGTCCGTAAATGTAAATAAGTTAGAAAATAGGACCATTAAAAAGTGCGTGATATAATTGTTTACTAATAAGTAAATAAGTCCGTAAATGAATTTCACTAAAACTTATAATTAAGGGTGTTAAAATATAACATGATTCGTTAACATTACACGAAGTTAAAAGATTTGAGTTTTCTTTAAGCCACGCGTTTCATAGATGTATATCCGGCACGATACGATTAATAAACGAATTAAAAGAAAAATTCGGTACGATTCGATTATACACGACACTAATTCAATACAACACAACTTATTAAATAAATCGAGTGTGAGTGAAGTACAAAAAAGTTACTTAAGTTTTAAATTCGAAAACATCAAAATTTACTTCTTATTCATTATCTACAAAGGTTCACCCGTTGTGATTAAAAACACCCTCTTGCTACTGAGTAATGCAGACTACCTGGCATGGGTAAGCAACATATAATTGGGAGTGGCGTGTGTTTGGGTTCAAAATGGGCGGGATTTTTTTTTTGGGTTGAGATGCATTACAAGCCATTGGATTGAAATGAAAGAAATGAGATGAAAATGTGGGCCTTTGAATTAAAAGTGGATTTAATCTGAGCCGTTCTTATGCTTTTCCAAATAAATTAAATTTTAAAGTAGAAAAAGATTCAAAATGAGTCCTATCTTATTAGTAAAGATATATTTAATAAACTCAAATAAGAAAATAAATATTCAAATTTAATTTATTGATCTAATTTATTAATAATTTTAAATTGATAACGAGTTTTAACTAAGATTAGAGTTGACTATCAGCACAATAGCAATAATTTTTTAAATTAATAAATTAAATCAATAAATTTACAGATGAGTCAACGATGCTGTCACTGTGCAATAAATCAAGGACCACAAGACTTAAATGACATGTAGCCATAAGTTGTTCAGTCTGGAGGACATGGTCTTGTCTACAGAGATAAGCAAAGATCTTTAACAACCCTACCCTCCCATGCCTTCAATTTTTCACACCAAACAACCTTCTGAGAAGAAAAAAAAAAAACTTTTGGCATACTACCCACGTGATCGTAAACTTCGATGTTTTACATTTAAATTTTGCAGGAAACTCTCGAGTTTAAGCCATACTTATAATTAATGTGTGATTATATATATTTATGTATAAATAATTTTAATGTTACTCTATCTTAGACATATTATCAAGTATTAAAAATAAAAATTTGACTTATAGAGAAATTGAGGAGCAGAACTCGAAGGGCAATCACATAGGACAAAATTATGATAGATTTATTCCTCATAAATAAGTTAATTTTAGCGTAAATGACATGTTTTTGATTAAATCGGAGAAGAAATTACTCAAAATACACACGTAATCTGATCTAAATACTTTCATAGTTGAAAAAAAAAAGAGAGAGCAGTCAAATGTAAAGAAACTTGCATGGGGATGAGCTGTATAGGATTTTAGCATTTTTTGTTGTCCTATTTCTCTCTTCATGTTTATTTAAACCTGGCCTTGCTAGATTGTCTCAGACCCACCCTTTTCCTTGACTGATACCTCTGCGTCCAAATATCAACAAAGTGAACAAACCATTCCTCTTCTCTCTTCCATCACTTTCCTGAACCCTTCTTCCATTTCCAATTCCAAAGCATTCAAATGGCAGCTTTTTCATACCAGCAACCTTTTCTTCTTGACTCTCTTTTCATGCCAAACACTCCCTTTAAGTTTCCTGGATTTTCCGAGGAACCAAACAACACCCCTACCTGTTTTTATCATTTATACCAACCTGAAACTCTTCGGGATATTGCTGAGGAATTTAGTGTCCCTGAAAGTAGCTGCTTTGAGCATAGCACAAAAGTTGCTCTTAGCAATAATGAACCCTCTGTGACAAACAAACATAGCCCAGATTCCTCATCAGTCATTGATAAACTAGAGAGTGGTGAACAAGTCACTCAGAAGCTGACCCCTATGGAGAAGAAGAGGAGGTGCGCGGATGGCTCTTCTTTGAGTTCTGCTCAGTCTAAGGTAAATTACAGTAAAATTTGTCTTGAATTATGTGGTTTCTTCTTTTTTTTTTTTTTTGGCATGTTGGTGGTTCTTAATTTGTTTTAAATTTTATATGTTCTTATTCTATATTACTAGGTAGTACTCCAACTAAAGAAGTATAGTATCAAAAGTTACTATAAAATAAGAGTATTATCGACGGAACTTTAGTCTAGTGGTACTCTTTATTTTGTGAAAATTTTACCTTCTTAATGTCAAGAGTTCAGACCCCTTCCCCCTCCCCCTTCTCAAAAAAAGGAAAAAAAAAACTATAAAATAAGAGCAAGATTATGACTCAATCTAATCAGATCCCAACAAAAAGAGAATTCTTCGAAATTGACCCTAACATCTATTTTGTTTTAACTAACCCTTATTTAAGTATAAATTTTAGTATGATACCAAAACCGAAATCCACTCTTCTCTTAGGCTATATTAGATTTGATTTGTAGTTTTCTTGCTACTTGATGGCTCATTTTGCTAGGGTGCAAGAGTAATGAAAGGGAAGAAGCAAAAGATGAGCAATGGTGGAATGAAAGAAGGTGAAGAAAAGAAGCATAGAGCTGATAAAAAGGATAAGAACAAAGTTGCTGAAGAAGCTCCTATAGGCTACATTCATGTAAGAGCAAGGAGGGGCCAAGCAACAGACAGTCACAGCCTCGCAGAGAGGGTACTAATACTATTCATTATTACAAGCTATTTAGAACTGTCTTCTTAGTTCTTACATTTTAAGGCAAGAACTGCCCATTATGCCCACACATACAGAGCAGATTTTATAGCAATAATTATCTAAATTCTTATCATGTCAAACTATTCATGACTCAGGACAATCATTCTTTTTTCTGCAAATGGATTTCAGGTGAGGAGAGAGAAAATAAGTGAGAGGATGAAGTTGTTGCAAGCTCTTGTTCCTGGGTGCGACAAGGTCAGCTTCAGTTCAGCTCTTTGTAACACTCTGTCTTTCTTTATAGAATAAAATGCTTGTTGGTGTTCTGACAGCTTCATGTGGCTTGATTGAAAAATAGGTGACTGGAAAGGCCCTGATGTTGGATGAAATAATTAACTATGTCCAGTCCCTACAAAATCAAGTAGAGGTAGGTAATTCTTCAATAATTGAGGGGCAAAGTGAAATCGAGGCCATAGTTAAGGAGGTCTAAACGTAATTTTCATCAACTTATCCTATCCTTCTATGCCTGTTTCCATTTTGCAGTTCCTTTCTATGAAGCTTGGTTTCATGAATCCCATGTTCTACGACTTTGGAATGGACTTTGATGCTCTCATGGTTAAACCTGAGGTAAAACAAAACAATCTGTGTAAACTACTCCATACAACAAATATTATTTCCTTTATCTACTTGTTTGGTTCTATGTGATCATTTCTCTAGATGAAAGCTGATGCTCTCTCTCTCTCTCTCTCATGATATTTAGAAGTTGAGCAGCTTGGCATCACCCCTACCAAATGTGTTGCAATGTAGCTCTACCCAGCCCACAGTATTTTCTGATACAACCAATACCACCTTTAGCTCAGCCAACAACCACCCTCTTCTGAACACGTCTACTTCAGTTCTGTTTCAAGAAGGGCAGGGGCCAAATAGCCTCTCTCAGGTATGTTTTCACTTCATGAAAGGGCATATAACACTATTTCCACCTGTACATACTCAAAAGTACAAATGAACATAAAATATAAACAAAAGAAAAGAAAAAAAAAACGATCTTTCCTAACTTTGACAAATACATCATTTTCAGGCTAATGGACAGCTCTTGTGGGATGTGGATGGCCACAGCCCAAAACTTCTAAATCAATCTGGTTTCACCAACAACTTGTGTTCTTTCAATTAATATGAGACCAAAGCTGCCCTACAAACATCTGGTAAGCCCTCAATCCTTGTCTGAATAGCTATAATTAAGTAACTACATAGGCAAATGGATAAAAATAATAAATACACAAAAATATATTACACACACTACCGCAAATTTCAAAGTTGTTTTACTGCTGTCATCAGAAATGCAGAATACTGGCCAGATAGATTACAGAAGAAATGTCAATTAATTAGATTAAATATTAAGGAAAAACTCAAGTTACTTTTTCTTGTATTTTTTGAAAGTTATCACAAAATAAAGTATGGTTAGACTTAATCTGGCAAGGCTATAGCAAAATGAGTGGTTTGAGATAGATTCAAACATTTTAGAATCGATGTTACAATTTTAGAATTGTCCTCAATTTTTTAAATGACAACTTAATCTTATGGGATTGTAACTTGAATTAAATTGAATCGTAACTTCATCAAATGGGTTTGTAATTTCATTGTTATTTTGTAGTAATTTTTAGTACGAAATTGAAGTAGGCATTGTAATGGTTCTCCAATAATATGTTCCTAGCTTTTTTTACTGACCGACTTTTGCTCTTTCTCTTGAACTTTTCCAGTTAGTATGAGGATTTCACTGCACCAAAAAAATGGATGAAAGAAGGGGGTGGCATAGTACAAAAATCTTCTTATTCTTTAGTATCAAGTATAATGGTTCATCAACTCAAGGCTCTGGTTCAAAGTCAAGTGGATTGTGGAGTCTGTGGAACATGAATAAAGGGCATTCAGAAAAATCTCTGGAAGAAGAAGACAACAGAGACACAAAAAGACATAGATAACCGACCAAATATGACTAGATCTGATGTAGATTCTCTGTTACTGTCCATTTTGACTTTAAAGTCTTTAGCACAAAGTCCTAGAGATTAGCTTGTGGTTGTTAAACCTAGACTAGCCATATTGATGTAAAAAAATAACAGAGTAACTGTATGATTCTTCTTAATGTTATTATCGTTTTCTGTTTTTACAGTTAAACTTACCGTTTTATATCTTGTTCTTTGTTAATTTTACTGTTGATACCACTGTTTATAAAGGGTAATTCTAAAGTATCCAAAAAAAATTGACACCGGATTTAAGTTTCTTATCTTTTGAAATCGAGTGACAGCTTTTAAAAGTGAAATTATAATTGTTTGAAGTAATTTCATGATCCATCATTAAATGTTATGATCAATCATAAACGTCCCTTATCAATTGTAATTTCTTCTTTAAAAAGTAAAATTTGGCCTCAAAAAGTATTATGGTATCCGCAATAAGAGTTATGTGGTCCCTAGCTATACTGATTTGAATAAATTCCATTGTTCCTCTCCCCCCCCCCCCCATGAAATGCACCCTTTGTATGTATAAGGGGAGAGAGAGAGGGAAAAGGGTATTCATTTGATCATGATTATATATCCTATCTGATGTTTAATTTCCCATCTAACGTGGTGCAATGGCTTTAGATCCGACCAATCAATCATCAAGTTTTACAAAAAGAACCGACATGACAAATTTTTGAACTAAATTAAGAGGTCAACTGATATGACAGTTGATTTGAAATTTTTTTATTTGACGTCATATTTTTTAAACCCTAATAAAAGTTCTAAATAATATACTGTCATGTCATTTAAATTTTTAATTTAACTTTAAAATTTGATCAACGTAACATTACTTGACAAATCAACGAGAGAGAGGTGGTCTACCAAATCATTTCAATGCAAAGTTTGAACTCTTGAATATGTGTCTCTCGTCTCATGGCTTAATGTTCAAGAAAACAATTTATTTATTTTTTGAGTAATTCTATGTGGACTTAAAAATTTGACGATATGGTTTCAGTGGAATTATTAGATCAACACAAAGTTCTAATGTTTAATAGAACCCACGATCAATCCAAATGTCATAGTGAATTAGATCTATAAATTAGGTCCCAATAATATTACTTTTTTTTTTTGATCTTCGATATAGAATCATAAAGACCTCAAATGATTGCTAAAATTTAAACTAAAAACATCAAAATTTACGGTTCATTTATGTCCCTTCTACACTGAATGGAACACAATTCCTCAACACTATTTTTAGGGGAAACACGTAAGTTCTACACTACATCATTTTTTTGGAATGTAGTTACATATATACATGTAGCTCAAAAACTCATCATGATCAATTTGTTTATGAGGGTCCCAAACTTCGATTATTGCTTTGGATTGGACGATTAAAGGTGTTCGGTTGGTTCAAGTTTTGATATACATCTTTGGGCTCACAAATTAAATACTATGTTTCCTTGGTCATTATCTCTTCATATCCTTTATATTCCAGCTATGTTGGAGAGTGATGCCACTTCCAATCTAGATCTTTCTTACTTAACAGGAAACTTTTTAACAGAGAGAGAGAGAGAAGATTATTCATGATTGTCTAGAAATTCTTTGAGAGGGTTGATGGGTAAGTAATTGTTGGATAAATAAACATTTTACATATTTTCTAGTTAGTTTAAGTTTTTAGAATAATTGGTAGTCACTATGGTATCAGGTCTAAGGCTGATAGTAAGGCTTATCGAATAAGACTCGACTCAAGTTCAGTTTGTGTTCTAAACGAGATGAATTTGAACAATATTTTAGACTCATTTAAAAAATCTCGACTCGTTTATCTATAAAATAGTTGAGCTACTCGAGTTTGACTCCTTTTAGGATCAACTCATTTTAGGTGTTTTAAACGAGTTAAATTTGAATAATTTTTTAAACTCGTTTAAAAAAATTAGCTCGACAGGTTCGATTCGAATTCATAAAACTCGATTCGATTATTAATCTTAATAGAGACATGAAATTCAAATCACACCAGTCCTTTTCCTTTATAATAAAAAAGAAAAAAATAATAACAAAGATAAATTAGCCAAAGAGGAGACATGTTACATTCTTTTCCACTAACATAAAGTTTTTAAAACAGTTGGTGTACAAAAGTAATTAGTTTTTTGAGAACTTTTTCTAGAATCCAACACCAAAAACAGTGCTTTTGGAAAAGAATTTCAAGTGATAAGTTTACAGCACAAAGAAAGTAACATAAAGTCACTTGTTGGCGAACAAGACACGTGTTGAACATGCTACCCAAATCTCTCTCTTTCTGGTTTTTCTGGTTTCAGTTACGCTTTTAATAACACCTTTTTTTTTGGAGGTTGATAAAGCAAGAACGCCACATTAGCTCCAAGTGAATCACTGGCCACCCATCGCTTTGGGTCCGCAGTGGCTTACTTTTGTAGAGACAAGTACTGATTTTCTTTTAACTGCACCTTTATTGGCGTAGGGCTTGCCATATTTCTCCTTTTCTTGTTATCTCCCCTTCAGAAGTTCTTCCTTCAACGTCCGTCCAGTGTAGTTTCAATTGGATCTCTCCATAGCACGGTTATGGGTTCACCGGGAATAGACCCATGGGTTGCAAATTCAATTTATTTGGAAAGTTGAGAGATTAACTCCAATTCAACCTAAGTNCCTTTTCTTGTTATCTCCCCTTCAGAAGTTCTTCCTTCAACGTCCGTCCAGTGTAGTTTCACTTGGATCTCTCCATAGCACGGTTATGGGTTCACCGGGAATAGACCCATGGGTTGCAAATTCAATTTATTTGGAAAGTTGAGAGATTAACTCCAATTCAACCTAAGTTATAAAACTCTCAACTCGAATATAGTCAATGATTAAATTTTTGTTTCGGTTCATTGATTCGGTCACTAAGAAATTGAAATATTTCGATCCGTTTCAAAAATAAAATAAAAATGAATAAAAATTTTAAGAATTATTTTTTTCAAATATTGGTCGAAATATACCCAAAAATCTTAAAACACCTTAAAACGTTTTGAAACAATTGTGTAAATGCATTAGAATTTTGGTCTCAAAACATTAGAATTTTAATTCAATTACTGATTCGTTTCGATCTCCTTGAAAGTAAAAAAAGTTTTGATTGTTTTAAAACGAAATTTTAATATTTCAATATAGCCCACATTTAAATTTTCGAATTCTAGTTAACAAAAGTGAAATTCAAGTTCAAATCAGGATGAATTACAAGATTCCACAAACTTTGAGTATAGAATTTAGATTTTGGGTTTAAAAAACCCAAGACTCCAATTCGAGTATTAACGAAATTTAGATTGGAATGAGATATTTATTTTGNTATTAGAATTTTGATTCAATTACTGATTCGTTTCGATCTCCTTGAAAGTAAAAAAAGTTTTGATTGTTTTAAAACAAAATTTTAATATTTCAATATAGCCCACATTTAAATTTTCGAATTCTAGTTAACAAAAGTGAAATTCAGGTTCAAATCAAGATGAATTACAAGATTCCACAAACTTTGAGTATAGAATTTAGATTTTGGGTTTAAAAAATCCAAGACTCCAATTCGAGTATTAACGAAATTTAGATTGGAATGAGATATTTATTTTGTTTAACTTCAACCAGAGAATTGAAATTCTTGTCCAAAAACTGAACATATTAGAGTGGTTTGTAACTTCAAGTAGTACTCTTGTGTTATGTACTATATATAGTATATACCAAGGGAGCTAATAAGAGCAAGTGTTTCCTAACCTCATAAGCAAAGCAATGGGGGGATGGACTTCTCTTTAAATCTTGTCCTTGACAAGTCAGCATCCAAATATCATTTACATGTACAAATGACGTCCAAAACAGTGACAAACTTTAGCCCATGGCTCCCTAAGGTCGAAACCATGATGTGTAAATAGCGTACCAGATTGGTCCAACTGTCTTTAAGTGTGAATAAAGTTTGGACGAGGGTAATTCAAGTGGAGATGAAAATGAGTTGTAAATTCAGGCGTTCTGAATTTAAATTTTGACAATTTCTTGGGATCAAGTCAAGAGAGAATTATCACCCATAAATACCGTAATTCTTTAGTGAATGACCTGCCTTTGATTATACCAGAGAAAGAATTAATTGAAATATGTGTAAACTGATTCAAATATGTCAACAGTTGAAAAAAAAAATCTCTCACTGTGGTGCCACTTTATATGGATTTCCAAAATTAGCAAAGCATGCCCCCGAAGGCTTCTCTTCACTTTGACTATCATGGTAATAAAAGTCATGACCTATGGGTGCTATATTTGAGGGCAGGTCTCGGCAGAATGGTAAAGTCGCGAAATCAATTGTTTTGTGTGCAAAATATGATTACGAACATTTGCATTTTTTCATTTCACCAAATTAGCTTTCCAAATCTAGCGAGCCCTTAAACCTCGCCAAAACACCCTTTCACTTCTCTCTCTCTCTTGTTCAATCAATTTTATCTTTTTTTTTTTTTCTCTCAACTTATCTGACTAAACCAAAACTGATCTCTTTTTTTTTTTCTCTCAACTTGTCGGACAAAATCGAAACCCCTCCCCCTCTTCCATGTTGAGAACTCTATTGGTTTAAATTGATTTAAATTTTGGTTGAATTTTAGGTTAAATATGACTATTAAAAATATGTTAATGACATGGTAGGCTATATGACATTTTCGATTTAAATTATTAAAAATTAGTTAAAATAATTAGTTAAAATAGATAGCGTTATTGAAGTGAATTTATAAAAATAATTTCCTAAAATAAGAAATATAATATTTAAATATATTTTAAGTAACTAAAATAAAGAGCTAGATTAAGGTGTGTTTA